AGGGTTAGAGTGGCGTCCACCGTAGGGGAGGCTGTTGAAATCCCCCTCTCTGTGGAAAACACTTTTCCTTTGGCGCAACATTCTTTGCAGAAATCGGCCAAGACCGAGGGTTTTGAAGCCCCTCTTTGTCCTTCATGGCCCTTAGAACAGGTTTCTCAAAGCATCATTCTCAGGCACCGTCTTTACCGCAAGGCTAAGAGCTGGGAGGCCACCTTTCACCCAGGTACTTCGAGGCCTCCGTCCCACAGCGGAGGGGGACCGAACTGCAGCGGGCTGCCAAGACGCCCTGGCGCCCCAGCTGGGCTCCCCTGTGTCTCCCCCCTGTCGGCCTCAGTCCTTGCTTCTGGCAGATCAACCTGCAGAGGACCTGAATGATGAGGTTGTATGTGGGACGCAAAGACAAGAAGACAGTGTTTTCGGTTCTTGGAAGAGGTGTCTTTGGGATAAGTAGACATGTGGCCAGGCTAGTAGGTTGTAAATTATCTGCAGTTGTGTGTGTGTGTGTTGCATGTGTGCGTGCGTTTGTTTGTTTACATACACCAAGCACAGGGCCACAGTGCGCGTCTGAGCACAGAGGGGTGGAGCCTGTGTCTCGCTCCTCACGTTAGGTCTGGTGGGTGCGCCTACTCGTGCAGGTGCGGGACTTGCCCGTCTGCCGTCCTGGAGTGATTCACTCTCATCCACGATATCTCCAGCACAGATCTCAGTTGGGCTTGGTGACTAACCCAAGGGGAGGGGAGTATGTGGCGACCTGCTTTGGCCAGAAATGACAGGTGAGCATAGCTGCAGTCAGCAGCTTATCCCAGAGGTGTTGGTGCAGGTTCCCTGGGCTGGCCAGACACACAGGTATTTCTGGACTGCAGCAGAGCCCGCTGCCATGAGCTTCCCGCCCGCGGTCTTGGATCTGTCAGCATGGGGCGTGTGCTCCAGGTTTGACTCTGGCAGCCGTCCGGGCCCTCCTGGCTCCTCCCATGACCCCGTGTTCTGTGTTTCCACAGGGCCGCACCTTCCTATTTCTCCCCGGCCACAGCCCACCCGTCGCAGTTGAGCACCTGTTTGCCCGAAGTTAATTTCCAGAAGCAGGTAAGGACCCCGGGGAAAGAGGTCTGGTGATGTGGCCACAGATCGGTGAGCGAGAGGGGGCCTTGGGTACAGGCTCAAGGGCTGACCGTGAACTTAGCGCATCTCGTTCGTCCCTAAGCTCATTTCCTCAGATGTGTGGCTTCTTTCGGTGAAATCGTGGTACTGCTGGTTTCTTTTAGGCTGTTAAGATGCGTGCAGTCTCTGAATTAGTATTGTATAGAAGCTCTATGAATAGCATTGTCATATGGCATTGTATTTTTGTGCAGTGTAAACATTGTATGAATGTAAATGTACATTTTTAAGTGTGAGCATTTAAAATATATCGCTTTTTTAAAAAAATAGACAATAAACAAAAGACAAATGTTGGGACCCGTGGGGCAGAGGTAGCTTATATATCTTAAAGGACCTCTTGCTGCCTGGCCCAGCCCGAGGTTACTCAGTATTTTCTAGGATCGCCCTGGATATAAATGTATATTTCAGTTGATATAAATGTGGGTGTTCAAACAGCATTAGCTTCCCATTTGTAAATAAAAACGAGGTGGCTTTGCTTGTGTTCAGGGCCACTTGTGCCTGTGGAAGGGAGGCCAGCTTTCGGAGCTGTTTATCAGAATGGGTCTGACGGACGCATGTTCCGATCAGCAGCCCTCTCTCCCGGTCCCTGCTGTGCTCCCTCTCGATTCTTCTAAAGTGAGATCAGCGATTTCAAAGCTGGACTTGTGCTGGAAGAGATTAGGTCCCTGCAGAGTCTGCGCAGGATGTCTCCCAGAGAACGAAGTGACAGGACCCATTTGTCACTTTGGATCCTTCCCAGTGGTCGGGAGCCCCTTCCTCGGTGTCCGTTACCTGCCAACCTTCCTTTAACAGAGATGTGGGCTCAGAACCAACGGGAGTGTGTGTGTGTGTGTGTGCGCGCGCGCATGTGTGCGCGTGCGCGCAGTGGGAGGGGTGACATCTGTGTGTCTGTAGCAAAGGTTGCAGGTTACCTGCCAACCTTCCTTTAACAGAGATGTGGGCTCAGAACCAACAGGAGTGTGCAGTGGGAGGGGAGCGAGCGAAGAGAGGGCAGCAGGAGAAACTGTACCTCAGTTTCTCTTAATTGCGTTTGTGCCAATCAGCTGTAATTCTCTGGAATCACCCCCACTCTTTGCATAATATGTGGATATCTGCAGCATGACACGTGGGCACCAGCCTCTTCCCTCACCATTTTCCATTCTTTAGCTCACCTCTACCTTTGCCTAGTTGGCTTCCAGAATGCTGTATCTCAAGAGAGAAAGCAGATCTGTCTCTGACTTAGGATTTAGAGTGGAAGTGCCATTAGGTTAGGCAATGGGGACATTTATGGGGCTAGCTGGTAGACCATAATTGAGAACATCATTACTTTTGGCTCTTACAGCTGAGGACTGAATGGATAATTGGTGTGTCTAAATTAGTTGCAGTTTGGACTTACGTAATTTAAACACATTTTAATGGAGACCAGTTCTTGATCCCTACAAGGGAGAATAAGAATTCTCAAATGATGTTAACCTGATGCTTCGTCAGAATTGTGATGAGATTTTAATGGTATGTTTGCTTAGATAGGCATCAGACCCAAACACACTTTACTGTCCCTGTAGCATGCCATCCACTGAAATGCCTGTCCTTCTCTTTAGTTATCTGACACCCTTGCTGCAGATTCTTCTGTTAAGGGCAGAATTATATAAACCAGTCGGGAAGGTCTCGTCCTTTTGGGAGCGTGAAGGGCGGGAATGTGTGCTCATTCGCCACATTCTGCCCCAGATCCATGTGTTCCCTCTGTTGGGAGGCAGGGCAGAATCCCAGGAGAGCTGGAAGAATCCTAGAAGGCCATAATGTTTATAAGTGACAAGATTCTTCCCCAAAGCAAGAAGAAACAGTTTAAGAATCAGTCTCTGCCAGGAAAGTGTGCTGAAGTGGGAACAGTCTGACCCCAGTGACACATTCGGATACCCACGACACCCTGCAAGCTCCCCACCTAGTAATCACAGCATGAGTGAGGGGGGGATTGGGGACAGGAAGGCTACAGTGCATACATGCACACTTGTGCGTGTGTGCACGCGCGCGCGCGCGCACACACACACACACACACACACACACACCTGCTAGTTCTGAGCCTATGTCTCAGTTGGTGACAGCTTGGCTGGTCAGGAAAGGACAGTGAGGAAGGATTCCGGACCGCTGTGAAGCCAGGGCCCCTAGTTCCTGCGATGTGCAGCAAAACCAGATACGTATCCTTGCCTGGTGGAGCCGGCCTCCTGAAAGAGTGGCTAGATCTTGCTCTGGGACCTGGGACTGCGGCATGGTTTGTGACAGGGTCAGAGTTAGGGCTTTAGCCGAATGAGCCCTTGGGGTTGAGGTGCGGAGGGCCAGCACTGGAACACTGCTTCTTTTGTGTGTAGCGACACCTAGCGGCTGGGGACTTGTTTTCCATCATGTCTTGACCCGGGACAGAATTGGAAGATTTTACTTCTGGAGCCCCTAAACTCCCAGTCTGGGGAGCGTTTCAGATGGCCTTTAGGGAACACGATGGCCAATGGCATGCAAACCACTTAGGAACAAGAGTCCCTTGGAAAAGCTCAGTCTAGTTCTGGAGACTGGATTAGGTGCTTTAGTCTCTTTCAACACGATGACATTTGGCCCTAGATTGATGTAGATGTCATAGGGAGAGGCAAGCTGGGACATTAACTGGGCTGTGTTAATTGAGCTCCCACCAGGCATGGTGCCAAGCACCAGGGTCCAGGACGGGTGAGCGAAGCAGGCATGGCCCTGGTCTTTCAGCCAGGCTGGGGAGAGACAGAAGCAAGTACCCCAACAAGGTGCCTTCAGACAGCTGGGACAGGACAGGCTGCGCGACTGGAAGTGTGGGGTGCGGTAGAGGATGCACAGAGCCTGCTCGGGCTGTGCTGTCAGGAAAGCCTTCCTGGGAAGGTGTATTTGAGTGAGATGAAGGATGGAGAAGATCCAGTTCCGGGCCCAGGGGACCAGTGCAAAGGCTGCTGGGAGAAGAGCTTCTTGGCCTGTAGCAGACACAGACTGGGGCCAGGCAGGCAAACCGGCCAGGGGAGGACTGCGGGCCTCGCAAGGACTGAGCCGGGTTCTGAGCTCGGGCGAAGCGGAGAGTGATGTCATCTGCTCTGGCTTCTTTTTAAAGATCATCCCGGTGGGGCGGTTGAGCGGAAGGCTGTGAGAATGGGTCAGCATGATAAGTGAAACCCCAGAACCAAGCTCTCCCACTCAGCGGTGCAAGGCAGTTGGGGTTTTTCTCTGCGTTCTGTGCACCCCACCCTGGGGACGGTGGGGGCTGCTTCTCCACAGACCATTCTCGAGGCACCTTACCGTTCTTTTCCCCCGTTACTGGTCGCTAGGCCCTTTTCTGAAGCCAGAGGAGGTGGAAGCGGGGCGGACAGTAGACTAGGGAGCCTGGGGCTGGGGCTTTGTGGTGGAAAGAGAGGCTCCGAAAGGGGACCCTGTCACATCAAGCATACAGCAGCCACTTAAGCCCTGACTTGCCAGCTCTTTGGTCTGTTGCTGGGCTTGTAAGGCCAGCGCCTCTCTTAGGTTATGGGGACTGAGCCGTTGACAGTGTTCCTCCAGGGAAGCTGCTGTTCAGGGCTCTGGCACACTGGAGTCCTCCCTTTGCATGGGAGCCACCCTCCCCAGGAGAGCCACCCTGCCTGGGAGAGCCTGCTGGTCCAGGGCTTGCTGGCCCCTGAGGGATGGACGGTGTGAGGAGTGTCTTTGGCCTGCCAGCCCAGTTCCCTTGGTCCTCTGAGATCAGCTCCCTGGCACCGGGGCTGCCGAGGCTCCACCCTCACCAGCTGCTGCGTTATTTCTGACTCATCCAAGAGTTACAAATATGTAATCTAAACCCCTCCACGCCTGGCTTCCTCCCCACGAGCTCCTCCCCAAGAGGAAGCCCTGGGACTTCTCTCCTGGGGCCTTTCTGCAGGTCGAGTCCCGCTGCACCTGGACGCAGCCGCCGCCTGCAGGAGCCACCCTCTGCCAGGTGGGGTGGCCTGGGAAGGCAGTGGCAGTGAGCCAGGGTGGGTGCCTGTGCCCCAAAGCCCTGGGCCCGCCTGTCCCCATCGCGGGACTCCTTGGAGCCCAGCCCAGGAGCTGGCCTCTTGAATTCATCAGGAGCTTTGGCCAAGGGAGCTGTCTTGGTGTCTGAGGGCTGGGTACTGACCTCACAGTTTCTCCAGCAAAGGCCCCAACCAGCTGCCTCTGATCATGTCACTTCAGGGTCATGCAGAACATCTCTTGTGGCTCATAGCAGGAGCCTTGCGGAGGGGGTGGCCAGAGGTAGAACTGTCCGAAGTCTCCCTGGGCCAACAGCTCTGTACAGAGGGGCCGCCAGCGCCTGCCCTAGGGCATAGGTGCTCAGTCTGGCCGTTGGCTAGTAGGGATGAGGGAGGGACAGGCCACTGGCTGCCGGCTCTGGGCTCTCAGAAACAAGACTCTGCAGCAAAGTGGACTCCCCGACAACCCCCGCCAAGCACCCTGTCTGTATCAGGGCGTGTCTCATCCCGACACCTGTCCCCTCCCCGCGTGTGCCTTCTGCAGGAGTGCCCAGAGCTGGCCAGGGCATGAACCGCGAGGGGGCCCCCGGGAAGAGTCCGGAGGACGTGTACGTTCAGCAGAAGGTCCGGGTGCTGCTCATGCTGAGAAAGATGGGATCGAACGTGAGTGCTGTGCGGTGGGTGATGTGCCCCAGCCCCCCGGGGGGGTGCCTGCTGCGGGCAGACCAAAGGCTGTGGCCACCTCCTGTGGCCACTGCCGTCAGGAAGGGGGCATGCTGAGCCTGTAGTTTGGCTCTGTGGCTAATTCATGTGGCACAGGGCCCAGCATGTCCAGTTCCGGGCGCACTGCGGGGGCAGTCTTCCTGCCCATCCCCCACCTTCCACCCCCCCACACCTTCCCCATCTCCACCAAGTTTGGGCCAGCTGAGGGAGAGTTCTAAGGGCCTACCTTCCTTTCCTCCCCTTCCCCACCCCCAAGAGATCTCCCCCAGGAGGGTGCCCCTGGGGCTCTGGCCCGGACGGGCACCAGTGGGCAGTAGATGCACAGCGGCACTTACTGGAGCAGGGCCTGTGTCTTCCTGCCAACCCGCGCTGCACTGGAACCCAGTCTGCCCTCAGTGGCCCAGCCCGGGAACCAAGTTTCGGGGGCGAGGGTGCTCACTCTGGTCCTGAGGGGTCAAATCTCGGGGATAGAGGGCCCGGGAGCGGAGCGAGGGAGGAGACACGTCTCCGGGATCGCGCAGACCTGGGCAGGTGCCCTCAGGAGCCGTGCGCCCGCCGCTCATGCCGCTCTGTCGCCCTTGCAGCTGACGGCCAGTGAGGAGGAGTTCCTGCGCACCTACGCGGGGGTGGCCAGCAGCCAGCTCAGCCAGCTGCCGCAGCACCCCATCGACCAGGGTGAGTCTGGGCCCGCGGCCGGCCACGCCCTCCCAGGCACCTGCTCATGGCCCCTTTAGAAAGCATAGTGCCAGCCCTCCTAGGTGGCAGTCCATGGGACAGACAGGCAGACAAGGAGGGTCCACAGACCCCCCGCCCCACAGAGCCAAGATCTGGCAGGTGGTCGCATCCAGGGAGGAGCCCCAGGAACTGGTCTTGGAGGAGGCAGAAATGGAGGTGTCTAGGGGCCCCTGTCACTTCACTGCACAGGCTCTGGGGGTCACATTCCTTAGCCTTTGGCCTGACCCCTGCCCACCCAGCCCCTGTGCAGGCACAACGAGACACCCTTGCATGCTAGGCAACGTGGTGGCTGGAGTGTTCCTGGCAGTGCCCAGAGTGGAGGCCCCAGCAGCCCTGGAAGTCTCTGTGTACCCTCAAGAGTTATTTCTTTTTGAGAGTTATTTCTTTTTGAGGTGCCCTCAACCCATCATAATAATAGTAGTGGGTGACATTTGTGTATATTGGCTGGCAGGCATGTACTAAGTGCTTGATACATGTCATTTCACTTAATTGTAGATAGCTACTGTTTGTCTTATTTCCACTTAACTGGCAAGGAACCGGGTTCAGAAGCAGCAAGTTACTGCCCTGGGCCATGCAGCCAGTCCCCAGGGGGCCTGAGGTGCAGACCTGCAGCCCGACTCTGGAAATGGGTTCTGGGTGTGTCGCTGTCTGTCCCGGAGCAGCAGGAGCCTGCCAGCCACTCATGGGCTCTCCCTTTCTGGAAGGCTTACCCTGACCAGCATCTGTATCCAGTGCTTTTCTCCATTCTAATTACCCTTAGTCTGAATCATTGGTCATAAGATGGTGGGGCCCATGGCATATCCCATGGGAGGGGGCTCCCCTGAGCAGAGTGTGGAGGGTGCCTTTGCCCGTCCGTGAGGCCGAGGAGGAGAGCAGGTCTGGCACACGGGGCTGCTTGTCTTGAAGCTGCCCTTATTCTCTTGGATGTCACAGGGCTCTGCCCTGGCACAGGGCCCAGTTCCCAAGCTCTGACGTTGGGCATGACCCAGCCTGTGCACCCAACTCGGCAGAAACGTACAGGACATCCCCGTGGCTCAAGCAGCTCCCTGGGACAGCCCCTCGCCGTGCATAGCTCACCTGAGCTACACTCGTATGGCAGCCTGTTCTGGGAGCTGGGGAGAAATAAGGGGTGTGGCGTGTGCCCCTGCCCCAGCCTGGGACCTTTTTTCTGGAGAGCCCTCTTCTCTTCCAGGCTGATCTGGGTTTCTCACCCAGGTCCCTCTCCCCTGGCTGCCGAACCATATCTACCTGAAGCCCTCAGGTTTCTGAGTCCCTGGGGAATTACCTTTTCTCCCACCCTGGTCTTGGGTCACTGAGTTAACCTGAACTTGAGCTGGGGTGGTAAGAATGCCTCTAGAAGATTGCTCTTAATGGAAGAAGTCAAAATAGGTTGTAGAACTGAATGGCAGTATAGAGAATAGCACATACACACCCCCCACTCACGCGTGTACGTGTATAGAAAAAAATAGCCGAAAGATATGTACCAGGCTGTTAAATAGAAACTTTCACTAGAGGGTAGAGCTTCTAAGGGGCTTTCACTTTCTAAGCCACACGTTTTTGTAAAACTAATTTTTTAATGTTCGATACACATTTCTTTTGTAATAAGAGGAAGTTTTAAAAGGTTTTTTTTAAATGAGATTTTATCTCGCTTAGCTAAAACCAACAGTTAAGAATAATAAAAATGAGCTCTGTCGAGTAGTTTAAGGAGGTCACGGTGACCTCACCTGGCCTGAAACTGCTGAGCAGTCAGGAGTGAGTCATGGGCTTGTGGCTATGACCATGTGGGCCCCAGAAGCCAAGCCCTCGTGAGTGTGGGGTGTCCCCAGGACAGCCAGGCTGGCTTCAGACATGTCTGTCTCTCGAGCCAGCAGAGAGTCTCTGGGGAGGCTGGTGGCAGAAGTGGTTCTCTGCTGGTGGGGTGTCCTTCATGCTGCCCCTCACCTCCATGGTCACCTCTGACCTAAACCTTCCGGGAAGACACACGATGCAGAAAGCCCCAGAATTCCCGTGGACTGTGAGTTGGGGCGGGGGTGGCTGTGCCTGGAAGAGCTTCACAAGTACGCCATTATTCTCTCGGTGTATCCGAAGATACCACAAACAAACGCACAGTAACAACAACAAAACAGCAACCAGTGCAGTCCAGGAGGTGCAGACCTCAGAGCAGGACCTTCCGCTTCTGCCCTTGCCGTGGCGCCAGATGGGTCTCGGCTGAAATTCTAGACAGCCTGCCCTCTCCGTTGGCAGAGCCGACCTCAGCTAGTGCCACAGGTATGCTGCTGTCAGAGTCTCCGGTGCTGCCCAGATGGCAAAAGCCCTGGATCATTGCTTCCAGTGCGTGGGACCCCAGCATGAAAGGCCCCGGAAGGCCTGGGAGCAGTCAGGGTGATGGGCGTGACCGTCCGCCAGAAGCCTGGTGTGAGTGCCTCCTGCCACTAGGTGGCACTGTCTCTCAGCGAATGCCCGCCGAGCTCCCCTCCTCGGGTGCTGGCTGCTCTTGCCAATTGCTATTCCAGCTCCCCTCGGTAGGGGGCCTGAGGCTGCCCAACTGATGAGTCAGCGTGTGGCCGTGGTCCTGGGGTCCTGCTCTCCACCGCGCACACTTCCCCTCCGAGTTAGGAGGGGTCTGGTGCCGGGGGCACTGCTTGCCGTCCCCAGACCCACGGAGCAGAGGGGCGTACTGCAGGCTGGCCCCTCACCCTGCATCCAGGCCTCGCTGCCCACCTCCCCATCCTCTTCTTCCCTTGGTGGACTCGTGTCCAATATCTCCTGGGTCCAGACAGGTGCTGGAGACCCTAGAGTATGGGTCTGCAGCTTCGGGGCTCACTAAATGGTTCCTGTAGAGGGCCCCAGTGGTCCCCTAGCGCTGGACTGAACGGCGGACCTGCCTGGCCTCTGTTGCTTGAGACCACCCGTGACAGCCTCCGTACGGAAGCCCTCCTCCTCCCTCCTCTCCCATGATGCACACCTCCCTCCTCCCCCAGCCCCGCCTCTCCGGCTGCTCCTCCCCACTTTCCGCCTCTGCTCGTTCCCCCTGCAAGCATCTCCTTTCCCTTCATCATGCTGCTGCTTTTTGTATTCTGTCCTCTTGCCTCTCAGTCTCATGTGCTCTTTCTAGAAGGCCACATGCACTCCCGTGACTTTGACAGAGCCCTGTCCTGACCCCAGAACTCTGTGTGCGAGTCTCTGCTGACCGTCTTGTCACAGATGTCCCACACTCACCAGAGCCACATTCACCACCTCCCCTTGCCCTGTTCTTTCAGGATGAATGTACCCCACACACACCCAGTGTCCTGGGGACCCACCATTCAGTCCCATCTTCCCCAGGTGTCTCATAAGTTACCAAGTCCTTTGATTCTCCTGCCATAATGCTCCTCAGATCGGCTGCATCTGAACACCCATTTTGGTCTGAGCCCTGCAAACAGCTCCCAACTGGCACCTTGACTTCTCATCTTGCCCCCTGCAGTGCGCTCTCGACCCCACAGCCAGAGGGCCTTTTGAAGGCTGCATCAGCAGATCTCTCCCTTACTCAGAATCTTGCAGTGGCTTCCTACTGCCATGAGGATAAAATTGCGGTGTGTGTCCATGCCTTTCTACCTCCGCATTTGCCTCTCACCTGCCCAGAGCCCAGCCCTAACCGCACACCTCCTCCTCAGTCTTCCCCAGGCCAGCCCTCCTCTGTCTTCCCCAGGCCAGGCCAGGCCCTCCTGCAGTTTCCTGCTCACGCGTGCACCTCTGCTGTGCTGCTGCCCACACCGTCTCCTGGTCTGTCTCTTGACAAACTCCAAGTTCCCTGATCTTGGGACGGTGGCTTCCTCTTCATGTTTATGTATGGGGCTGGGAGCCCATGGTCCCTCAGGAAGGGAGGAACGTAGAGTCAGTTCTCTGAGCACTGTCTCCTGGTCTCCAAGGGTAGCTGGGCGGAGCTGACAGCCAGGCAGGACTGACTTTGAATCAAAGGAAATCAATACTTCTCTGGGAAGGTCACCTTGCTGGGAAGGCCCAGCTGTGGCTTCCAAAGCAGGCGCGACAGAATGCTGAGTTCATTCCTTTCTTACCGCCTGCGCTGCTCTCTCCGTAACACACATAGATCGTTTTCCCTGGCTATGAAATAATGCACGGTCATTGTAGAAAACTGGGGAATGGCAGAAACAGCTGCAGCGCTTTACGGATCGAATCCTACCACTGGCCGTAGCCACTATTACCTTTCGTTAAATTTCCCATCAGCCTTTTAAAAATATGGATGTATTTCCCTCATAAAGTTGGGACTATCCAGTATAAACATTTTGATACTCACTTTAACTTCCATTTTTTACTTCTGATAATTTTACAAAGTTCTTAAACAATTTTCAGGAAAACATTTTGGCAATTGCGTAATATGCAGCCATATGACTGTACCGTGGTTTTTCACCAATCCTTTACTGTTGGACATTTGTCTCTCATTTTTGCTATTAATTATAATAACATTAAACGTTGAGCTCCTTCTATGAGCCAGGTTCCTTGTGAAGCAGCATACAAAGATTATCCCAGTGAACCCTCGAGATAGCCCTGTGGGGCAGGTGCTGTCATGCACCCCACCTTCAGGATGAGGTGGCAGGCCCGGAGAGGTCAAGTAAGAAGCTCACGGCTGGGTCCAGGGTGTGGCGAACATGGAACATCCTTGAGTATAAATCATCATTTATTTTAGGGAAAATTCTAGAAGTGGCTTACAAGCTATACGCAGGGCATGTTTTACCTGAGGAACAGGTGTGATTTAGGCAGTTAATGTATTTTAGGAGGCACAGAAAAAATTTGGAGAAGTTTTCTATTGCCTTGGTATTCCGGGCCCTGCAGCACTTTTGAATGTGCCATTTCGCTGGGAGCTCTGTCTCTTCCCACCTGGGCACCACAGAGGGGCACAGGGCACCCAGGAATGCAGGTCACTTTGCAAAGATGCACTTTGC